CCCCCTCCCCTCCAACGACCGCCTCCTCCTCCTCTCTCTCTCTCTCTCTCTCCGCCCCCCTCTTCCTCTCCAAGCAGCCGCCGGAAGCAGCAGCTTCCAGGCGCACCTCTCTCTCCCGTCGCTCTCCCTCTCTTCTTCTCCCTCCCATCGCTCCTCTCTTCCCCTCTCCAGCCGCCTTTCTCCCTCTCCTCCATTTTTCTCCTTCTCTTCCTCCCCTCTCTCCAGCAGCCGCCCCATTTCCTCCATTCTCGCCGGCGATAATCGCCACCCTCAAACAGCCGCCACCCCCTCTTCTTCTCCCTCTTCCGTCGTCCCTTCTCCTCTCTTCCTCCCCTCTCCCATCGCCTCCTCCCTTTTTTTCCTCTCACCAGCCACTGCCTCCCTCTTTCTCCCTCTCGTCTTCCTCCATCTCTCTCTCCTCGTTGTCTCTCTCGCAAATGGTGAGCAACCGCTCCGACGCACGCAGCAGCAGCAACGTCAGCCACCAGCCCCCACCGGCGAAGAAGACACAGCCAACAACCATTGGCAAACACTCTGAGCGAAGAATATGGATAAGGGCAGATCTTTATAGATCTGTCCGAGGTATTCTTTTATTCATATAGTAGTCTCAAATCATTGTGTGTATGGGCTGATTTGTTCTTGAAATTTATTTCGCTTCTTGAATCCATGTTCAAATTATTTTACTCCCCTAATAGCTTCTAATTTGCTATGAACGCTTGCTAATTTGAGCAATTTTGGATGTGCTAAATCATTATTTGACCCTTTACTTCAGTCGATTGATGCCCATTGTATCTATGGTAAAAGTTTGGTTATCTAATGTGGTGTGTAAAATCTGGAAATTATCTTAATTGGTATATCTTTGAGATATTGAATATTGTGTGACATTGTAATTATGTCGAAATTTTTTTTCACCCTTTTCATCTAAGTTAGAGTATAACTAATTAATTGAAATGATGTCTTAATGCTCGCTTATGTGTTGATAGTTTAACCTTTTGTTTTGATTGATGAATGGGTCATTCACTCGTTTAGCTGAACTAATTATTTTCTTGGCAATTTGCTCATTCATCTAACTACGGTAAGTCAACATTATTTGTGAACATTCATTATATTTAGGCTAAATCTCAATAATTTGGTGACTCCTCAATTGATCTTTTTGCCTTGCTCTGGCCTCTTTTCTTATTTGATAAGAAAATTTTAAAATTCATCCATTTTGGCTCCTCTTTATTTAAAGAAAATAATATTAATTAATCTCTCTTTCCTTTAATATTTGGCTTTGATTAATTCTAATTTGTTGTTTATGACAACCTTATTATTCCCTTGTCATATTAGTTGATCATATCATTGGTAAAATAAATTAAAAATAAATTTGATTTTGACTCTTCTTCACTTAAGGAAAATATAAATTTTATTCCTAATTTTATTTTCTTACATATTCATTTAGAAATGACATGTTTTAATAAATTTGATATGATCCTTCCTTATTTATGAATAGATTAATCTTACTAATTTATTATTATTTGTTTATATTTTGTAACATAATAATAATTTAATATTATTTTGGAGCTTCTTTATTTAAGGTAAAAGAAATATTGTCTTCCTAACTTTATTATTACTTACTTATTTTTGGTAATGAGCATTTTAAATATTTTCTGATTTTTGGCTCTCTTTGAAAATAAGGAAATAGTATTATAATTAACTCCTTGATTTATTTTATTTCCATTATTGTGCTCCCCCTTATTTGCTATATAAATAGGACTCCCTCCCCTCCTTTCAGACACACATTGACATCTTTGAAAAGAACTCACATTCTCTAAACTCATTCTTACTTTCTTACTACAAATGCTACATTATTCTTAAACTTTCTTATTCTCTCATTGCTCATACATACATGAACTCATCAACATACACTCATTCACTCTCAATCACAAAAACTCTCTCATCATTCTCCCTTCTCTCATTCGCTCTCTTGCTACCTTAACAATACATCGAGAATTCGGTTTCATACTTGAAGTTCAAGTTGAAGATTAACTGAAGAAGGATTTATTTGTTTATTTGAATGTGTATATATATCTATATGTTTTTTTTTGTTTTTTTTTCTATTTTAT